AAAAAAATAAAAATAAGTAAAAAAAGAAGTATAACATACATTCTGGGCCAGGCATGATGATAATCCCAGCTCTTTGGGAGGCCCACTGGGTAGATCGCTTGAGCCCAGGAGTTTGAGACAAGCCCAGAGAAGATGGTGAAATCCCATCTCTACAAAAAGTACAAAAATTAGCCAGGCATGGTTACATGCTGCTATGGTCCCAGGTACTCAGGGATAAGGTGGGAGGATTGCTTGAACCTAGGGAGGTTGAGGCTGCAGTGAGCTGCGATTGGACTACTGTCTTGCAACCGGGGCAACAAAGCAAGACCCTGTCTCAAATATATATATATAAAAAACATACATTCTGAAAAGTACAAAATCAAAGTATATGACCTGATGACTTGCATACAAGTGAGCATATTCCTTTAACCAGACCTCAAATCTGATAAGGAAATAGAACATTATTGGCATTACAGAAGCCCAAGTCTTGTCCAGTTCACTCACTACCCACTTCTCCCAAAGGTAACTATTATTTTGTCTTCCATGGCCATAGACTCATTTTACCTATACTTGAATTTTGCTTGGCTTCTTTTTTTTTCACTTTTTTTTTCCTACTGTCAATCTCACTTGGACATGATGCTTGGCTTCTTTTACTCAATATTGTATTTTATATGTAATATGAATGCATTCTGCAATAATGTGTAGTATAAATATATACAATTCATCCATTAGTTATAGGTGATATAATGAATATAGTGAACACATTATTATTGCTGTTTAAAATTCTGTTGTATGAATATAACACTTTTTTTTTTTTTGAAGCAGAGTTTCGCTCTTGTTGCCCAAGCTAGAGTACAATGGCACCATCTCAGCTCACCGCAACCTCTGCCTCCCGAGTTCAAGCAATTCTCCTGCCTTAGCCTCTCGAGTAGCTGGGATTACAGGCGCACGCCACCACACCCAGCTAATATTTTTGTATTTTTAATACAAACAGGATTTCGCCATGTTAGCCAGGCTAGTCTCAAACTCCTGACCTCAGGTGATCTGCCTGCCTCGGCCTCCCAGAATGCTGGGATTACAGGCATGAGCCACCATGCCCGCCCGAATATAACACATTTTACTTATCCATTCCATTATTGATTGGCATTTGATTTCATATTGAGGCTACTATGAAAAATGCTGCCGGGAACATTCTTGTACGTGTCTTTTGGTGCACATATGAATGCATTTCTCTTGGGCGTATTTCTAGGAGAGAAATTGCTGGGTCATAGGTTATGTATATATGTTCAACTTTAGTAGATACTGACAGTTTTCTGAAATAGTGGTATCAATCTGTATTCCAAACTGCAGTGTAGACTTCATGACAAGAATATATTTTACAACAAGAAGCTTTACTAGAGATAAAGAGGAATAGTTTATAATAAAAAGATCAATTCATCAGTAAGATGTAACAGTTCTGAATTTATATGCCTTCATAAAATGGCTTCAAATATATTTGACATAACTAAAAGAAGTAGTAGATAAATCACAATCTTGGTGGAGAGTTTTTAGCACTCTTCTCAATAGCTGATAGAACAAGTGACAAACCCAATAAAGCTATATGGTATTTGAACAGTGTGATTGATAAGCTTGACCTGATTGATATGTATAGAACAGTGTACCTTACAACTACATAATATACATGCTTTTCAAATGAATATGAAACATTTATCCAAATTGATCATATGCTGGACCACAAAGGGAGTCTCAATAAATTGCAAAGGAATGAAATAATACTGTAACTTTCCTGACCAGAGTAGGTTAAGCTAGAAGTCAATAACAAGAAGATAATTAGAAATATCCCAGCTAGGTGTGGTGACTTATGCCTGTAATCCCAGCACTTTGGGAGACCAAGGCAGGAGGATTGCTTGATCCCCGAAATTTGAGACCACCTTGGGCAATATACCAAGACCCCATTTCTAAATTAAAAAAACACAAAGAGATATCCCAATGTTTGGGATTTAAGCAATGTATTTATAAATAACTGGTGACTAAAAGAATAAATAAATTGCAGTAGATGTTTAAAATATTTTAAACAGTGATAATGAAAAATAACATCAAAATTATGTTTCTAAAGCTGAATATGAGGAAAATATATAGCTGCAAATGCATATGTTAGAAAAAAATGAATGTTGGCTGGGCGCCGTGGCTCACGCCTGTAATCCCAGCACTTTGGGAAGCCGAGGCGGGTGGATCACGAGGTCAGGGGTTCAAGACCAGCCTGGCCAATATGGTGAAACCCCATCTCTACTAAAAATGCAAAAAAAATCAGCCGGGTATGGTGGCAGGTGCCTATAATCCCGTCTGCTTGAGAAGCTGAGGCAGAGAATTGCTTGAACCCGGGAGGCGGAGGTTGCAGTGAGCCAAGATCACGCCACTGCACTCCAGCCTGGGCGACACACACAAAAAAAGAAAAATAAATAAATGAATGTTGAAAAATTAATGATCTGTGTATTCATCTCAAGAAGCTAAGGAAAAGTTTGGTAAGTTAAATCCCCAAAATTAAAATCTAGGAAATAATAAGAATAAAAGCCCAAATATAAAATTTTTAGTATATTTTCTATTGCATATATTTTGGTATACATGTTTTGATGTACATAACGAACATATATTGAAATACGAAATGAATGTACAATGAAGAAAATTAACAAAGGCAAAAGCTTAGTTTTGGGAATTAATGAAATTAATAAATCTCTAACAAAACAAAATATGAGGTAACATAAAAATTGCCCATATCTGATAATAGGAAAATTGAACCAACAACAGACTTAATTTAAAGACTGAGGGCTCAATTAATTAGCGTTTGGTACCTGGAACTTGGTTCCACAAAATAAGCTCATTGGAATCTGAGCCACTAATCATTTTACCGGGTCCCTTTTTATACTTCATCGAACACGTAAATTTTTCTGGTTTTTTGTTTTTTTCTTTTTTTTAGAGATGGGTCTCTCACTCTCTTACCCAGGCTGGAGTGCAGTGGCGCAGTCACAGCTTACTGCAAACTTGGCCTCCCGGGCTCCAGTAATTCTCCCACCACAGCCTCCCAGGTAGCTGGGACTACAGACAACATGCCATCATGCCTGGCTTGCTTTTTTCTTTTAGTGATTTTGTTTGCATTTTAATTGTGGTATAAAACACGATATAAAGTTTACCATCTTAATCTTTTTTTTTTTT